CAAGGTCGGGCACTGAGGTCGGACGTGATAAAGATGTGATAAGGTCGGGCGAAACGAAGTCAGGAAAGTCAGGAGGTTAAAAAAGGGAAGGACGGGCAAGAGGAGACCAAACAGCAGATGTGCAGGTCGGGCGAAAGAGCAGTTCCTGGACAGTTGAGGGAAGTTTCAACCGATGAGCGGATTTGAAGGCACGACTTGGTGAGTCGGTTAACATACGTGTCAACAGAAGAGGGCTTTCTGGGCGGTTGACATCAGTTGCTGTAACCGACTAGACGGCGGTTCAAACCGTTTATTTAGAGGAATATTTAAGGATTGGGGTCAGCAACTGGCAGGGTATCTTCAATCGACATCAAATTCAAGAGAATTGCTTTTGGGGATCACCACTTTATTTTCCAATCTGTAGTTTTATTTTCCTATTTTATTTATGTTTCCTACAGTGTTTAGAGATTCCTAATCTCAGGCACCAATTATATCAAATTCGAAGATAATTTCCTATTTTCGGATTTTACTTTTTATTTTTTAAAAATTGCACCAACAATTTGGTGACCACAGTGGGAAAAAGGCAAGATTGCTGATCCTACGTCAACAGAGAATTTCATACGACTGAGGTCCGGCCGAATCATCGGAAGGATCCACATGGCAGGCTCGCAGCCTCAAGCATCTTCAGCACCAGTGGGAGAAACCGTTTCACCACCTGTCATACCAAATGCAGGGGAAATTCCCCAAGCACCCGCCGATTGGGTGTCTTATGTTCAACAATTGAACAATCAGCATAGTCTGGCTATGCAGAACATGTTGCGTGAGCAACAAAACATCATGTAAAATATGCTAAATCAAGCTTTATCAAGGTTTACTTTGCAACCCACCCAGACACTGCCAGAGTTGTCACCATCCAGATTACAGGCAAATTTTGCGGGGCCTTCGTACGTGGATAGCACTTTTCCAAATGCTACCACTACTATGATTGACAGGAGAAAGACTCCTCTCACATACCCAAATAATGTTTCACTGGGTGTTAGGGCCGAACCAACCGACCTCAGAGAAGAAAGATTGGGAGGACAGGCTCATAGTCACATTCCTGTATTTGATCCTGTTCCACCCAGGGTAGATCCGGAAGACATTGCTCAAGTCTTGAGAGTGCATTTTGGAATGAATCCTCAGACGGTCAACAGACCGGCATATCAGACGACATCCACAGAAAGAATCATCAATGAGCATCCCCTTCCGAGGAATTACAGACCACCCGACTTTCTCTCGTTTTCAGGAGAGGATAGAGCATCAACCATTGAGCATGTGGGACGCTTCACGCCGCAATTGGGGGAAGTGGGCAATAATTCGTTTTACAAATTACAGTTGTTTGGATTATCGCTCACAAGAACCGTTTTTTCATGGTTCGCTAATTTGCCGCCAGGACAGTTGCAAACTTGGGAAGGTTTGGAGGCTGCATTCCATGCAAGATTCTTTAATCTGCTCCCAACGGTCTCACTCACAGATCTCTTGGAGACCAGACAGATGCCAGAAGAGACTGCTTATCAATTTATAGAGCGGATACGTGTAATAAAGGGACGGTGCCCGAAAATCATCGAAGAAACCGAGATGACCAATTTAGTGATCAGGAATATGCATACCAGACTGCGAGAGACGTTGACAGCCCACGATGTTCAGGACCTGGCCAGTTTGGCTTCCAAAGCAGGAAGGTTAGAATATCTTTTTAGAGAAAAAGATCATAATTTCCGACGGAACAGGGTCCAACAGATGGCCAGTGTTGATACAGAAATGTATGCACCAGATGATGAGCAGGGAAACATCATTGAATAAATGGCGGCTGCAATTGTAAGCGGCAAGCCTTATGTGTGTTCCAAACTAAAGCCCCTTCCGGGGACAGAAGAGAAGGAACAACCGACTTTTGATGCATCTAAAGCAAACGAAATTTTCAATATTCTGCTAGCAAACGGGCAAATTTGCATTCCCAAAGGGCAACTTTTAGCAACGAAGGAAAAGATAAAAGGAAGGCCATACTGTAAGTGGCATAATTCTTTTACGCATTACACTAATCAATGTACGCATTTTCGAAAGGAAATACAGAAGGCTATCAAAGCAGGGAGATTCAAGTATGTAACAATGGGAGTGGAGCACCAGCCGTTCCCAAAGGTGACTACTGCTGTGATCTCCCTGCGTTCTTCACAAGATACCCAAAGTGATGATGAAGAAAATATCAAGCGAAAAGAGCGCAAGCCTAAAGAGCGGGAACACGATCAGGAAGACAAATTCAAAGTTTGCGAAACCAGAGTGGCGGATAAATGGGATAAAGAAGATGGGTCCTTCAAAGTGGAATTGAAGGATAAAGCTGTGGTACAAGATCGAACAACGCGCAAACCACAGCCAGTCCATGACAAATGGAGCCGAAACAGAAAGCCTATGCCAATAGACAGAGATCCCCGATTTTCACGTATGAATCGTATGCAAATTCGTAATGCTAAACGCAAGTATGCAGCTCGGCATGGAAAGCGGGTAGACAAAAGGAAGGAGAAGAAGGAGTTGTCACCCAAAAGGAAAAGTTCGAGCGACCAATAGGAGTACTGGCAGATCGAAAAGCCTATCAAGAAGGCCAAGTGCTTTCGTTGTCAGTTCTGTAGACGGATCAACATTGATACTGAGATAGAAGATGCCGAGGAAGAGATTCTTGAGTTAATCTTCGGGTCATTTGCTCCAGAAGAAACGAAAGTTTTGCGCAGCAAGATAGTGAAGATTGATAAAGCCGGGTTTGAAGTCAGGATGACGGATATGCGATGGTTCGAGGAAGAAGAAGAGCCCATCTGGGCAAAGTTCGAGGAAGAAGAAGAACCGGAATAGGCGGCGATGACTGGTAATCCCCCACATATGGTTATTCCACCTATACCAGAAGGAGCAATCCCACACTTGAAACCATTGTATGTTAACGCTCACATTTGTGGTAAGTCGATTAACAAGGTTTTTATTGATAATGGGGTTGTCTTCAACGCTATGCCTCTTAAAACTCTGAGAAAATTAGGCAAAGGGATTGGCGACCTATCTCCAGTGGATATCAAGATGACAAGCTTCACAGGACAACCAACCAAACCAGAAGGGATGATGGTGGCACCTATTGAAGTCGGACCGAAGGTGATTTCAACAGTCTTTTTCGTGGTAGATGCCAACACTACTTATTCGGTCTTGTTGGGGCGAGATTGGATTCACGCTTCCAAATACGTGCCTTCTTCTCTCCATCAACATATCATGTTTTGGGAAGGAGATCAAGTATTTACTATGGAAGCTAGCACCAATCCGTTCGGCTCCACAGAAGGTGTGGAAGAGTCCGTGCTTTATTTAGAGTACGTACCGCCAATTTCACGGACAACTGTGGTAAACGAATATCCCTGGAAGGGCTGTAAGCTCACGACGCAGGGTTATGTGTTTCATTAGAAACATTCTTCTGCTTTATGGCTCTGTCGTTAGCCAAAAAAAAAAACTTTTATTTTATTTTAAGTTTAATTATGAAAGAAAGTAAATGTGAAAAGCAGATTAGGCAGTTTTATTTAAACCAATTAATGGTTAAATTACATAATAGTGAAGGTTCCAACAATAATGTTGGTGAGGGAGAAGGTTTTCGCTGGCCTGATCTCTTGGAAAAGATAGAACCTTCCTTGTCGACTCAGGATCCTCTCATTGAGTATAATGTCGAAACCGAACAGATACCCAAGATGGTCAGGGTAAGTGGTTTGTTGTCAAAAAACCAACATGAGCAAATTGTATCGTTAATCCGGGACCATATGCAGTGTATGGCATGGGATTACTCCGAGATGCCTGGATTGGCGCGCGATTTGATAGATAATAGGTTGCCTATTAAGAAAGGGTTTAAGCCGTATAAGCAGCCACCAAGAAGAGTGAGTCCAGAATTGATGCCCCAGATCAAAGAAGAAATTGAGAAACTGTTGAAGGTAGGATTCATTCGACCATGTCGGTATGCGGAATGGTTGGCCAATATTGTTCCGGTAACCAAGAAAAATGGAAAGATTCGAATCTGCATTGATTTCAAAGATCTCAATCTCGCCACTCCAAAAGATGAGTATGTGATGCCCATAGAGACATGTTGATCGACTCGGCAACAGGGCATCGAATTTTAAGTTTGATGGATGGATATGCAGGGTATAATCAAACTTCATTAGCAGAAAAAGATATACCCAAAACCGCGTTCAGATGCCCAGGAGCTTTGGAAATTTACGAGTGGACGGTTATGCCTTTCGGTTTAAAGAATGCTAGAGCGACCTACCAACGGGCAATGAATACTATCTTTCATGATCTAATCGGGCAGTCAATGGAAGTATACATTGATGATGTGATCATTAAGTCTACAGACTTTGACACACATCTAGTTGATTTAAAAAATGCTTTTATACGGATAAAACAGTACAACCTAAAAATGAACCCAACAAAATGTGCCTTTGGAGTTTCGGCAGGGAATTTCCTAGGGTTTTTAGTGCATGAAAAAGGGATAGAAATTGATGCAAACAAAGCCAAGGCTATTCTGACAATGCGGCCACCTCAGTCGGTCAAAGAAGTGCAAAGTTTGTTCGGAAAGGTAAATTACCTAAGGCGTTTTATATCAAATGCTGCAGGGAAGTTAAAACCTATCACAAAGTTGTTACGGAATAAGGCGGCCGATTTTTCTTGGGGTCAGAAGCAACATAATGCATTAGAAGAAATCAAGCAGGCATTAACCAAACCACCTGTGTGTTGGTTCCCCCAAGAGGAGATCGCGCCCTTCGGCTGTACGTTGCGAACAACTTTGATGTTGTGAGTAGTCTGTTGGTGCAAGAATGGGAGGATGGTAAGGAAAAAGGGCTATTTATTATTTAAGCAAAACTTTGGCAGGACCAGAGTTGAATTATACTATGCCCGAAAAGATGTGCTATTCTTTAGTTTTTGCATGTACTCGGCTGGAGCATTATTTTCTGCCAAGAGAAACCGAGGTGGTTTCTAAAATGGATCTGATCAGATTAATTCTGCACAGACCAACCATGCAGGAAAGATTAATGAAATGGGCCATCAGGTTGGCTCCTTTCGCGTTGCGACACCGACCTATCAAAGCGGTGAAAGGGCAGGTTGTAGCCGACTTGTTGGCTGAATTTGCAGGCGATGAATCATTGGAAAACAAGGTAGTGCCGTATATAGGCAGCAGTCTTTGGAAAATATGTTTTGATGGTTCTCGTTCAAAAGGAAAGTCAGGACCAAGGGTGATACTAGAAGGACCAGGAGCTAGTAAAATTAGTTTGCAGCTTCAAATGGAAGAGATGACTCATAATTCTGCGGAATACGAAGCACTGATTTTGGGTTTGGAAGCGCTTATCGCTAAAGGAGTACAATCGGTTCTAATTTGTGGAGATTCTCAACTAGTCATCAACCAAGTGTTAAAACGGTATGCTTGTAAATATCCTCATCTGCGTCGATACCGAGATTTGGTATTTCATCTGTTATACAAAATTGCGGAGGTAGTTTTCGAGCATGTACCAAGAACAGAGAATCGGTTGGCGAATAATTTGGCTCATAATGCCTGCCAACAAATGATAGGGAGTACCGATTCTGGGATTGATTGGAGAACAGAGATTATGGTGTATTTGGAATCACCAAGTTTTGTGACTTCTGTGGGCATTCGATTGAAAGCCTTGCGCTTCCAGCTTATTGAAGGGGTTCTGTATAAAAGAACCTTGAAGGAGTTTTATTGTGGTGTTTGGGGCTGAAAGAATCCATTAAAGTAATGGAGGAGGTCCATGGTGGAATCTGTGTGGTGCACCGAATGGGATTGAATATGCGGTGGGCTATCCATCATATGGGATTTTATTGGCCAAAGATTTTTTGTGATTGTATCAGATTTGCTAAGGGGTGCCAGGAATGCCGGAGGCATGGTCCATTAAATCATCTGCCAACAGTAGAACTGCAGACGATGGTTAAGCCATGGCCATTTAAAGCTTGGGCGTTGGATGTAATAGGGAAAATTCATCCGACGTCATCGAAGCAACATTCATTCATTTTGGTAGCGATTGATTATTTCACCAAATGGGTAGAGGCGGTTCCTTTGAAGAATGCGACGCATAAAGAGGTGATTGAGTTCGTGCTTAATCACATCGTCTATCGGTTTGGGATTCCGCACACTCTTACAACCAATTAAGGGTTGATGTTTACTTGGGAAAAAATTGTTGGGTTTTTGGCCGAATTTAACATCAAATTGCATCACTCTTCACCATATTATCCACAGGCGAATGGGTTGGCCGAAGTGGCAAATAAAATCGTTATTGGCATCATATGTAAAATGGTAGAAGAAAATCCAAGGAAATGGCACACATTGTTGTCTCAGGCATTATGGGCCCACCGAAATAGTAGAGATACTTCTACTGGATTTTCCCCATACCAATTAACGTTTGGGCAAGATGCTGTTTTACCTGCAGAATTTGTTGTGCCTTCACCCAGAGTGACTAATACAACATCGTGTATTGACGAGGCGTATGCACAAAGGATGTGGCAACAATTGGAAGAAGTGGATATAGATCGATTAAGCGCTTTAGATCAAGTGGTTAGACAGAGTGAGATCAGGGCGAAATACTATGGAAAAAGAGTATTCCCTAAGGTTTTTGCAGTAGGGGATTTGGTCTGGAAGACAATTCTGCCTACGTATAGAAAGGTGGATCAACTAGGGAAATGGTCTCCCAATTGGGAAGGTCCTTTCATCATTCATAAAGTGATTGGGAATGGAGTTTTTATTATCATAAATCAAGAAAGAAAGCTGGTACATGAAAATATTAATGCTAAGTATCTGAAAAGGTATTACCCTGCCTTTTCAGGACATTGTCATTAATTCTTATTAGAAAGTTTAGGAACCCTTCAACGGGTTCGAACCTATTAGGAAATGGTTCTCTAATCATCAGAAGGGTAGTGGTCTTCTTGGTCAGAGGTTTCATCCCAACTCGCAGAAACCATTTCAGGTTCTTCATCCAAGAGGTCGTCCAAGTCCAGGCGGTAGCGATCCCACTGATCCTGCATGTCTTGAAGATCTTGTTCGGTCCGGGCCTTGATATCTTGCAGAGACTGATTCTCTCGTTCAACAAGGACGCGCAGTCTGGAGAGTGTTGATCTTTGCTGCTGGAAAATGTTGTTCCAGCTGAGGTCTAGGAGAATTGCAGATACATGATGGTCTATTATGTCCAGATGATGATCGAGATCGGATATACAAGTGAGTATGTCGGTGAAGGGTCATAGCAGGTGGATATACGTTCCATCAGTAGGATCGTACGATGTATGGTTCTCCTGCCTCTGATGGAGAACCTAAATTTGAAGTCCAGTTGTTTCAGTACCTGTATCAGGTCTTCAGCATGATGACCTATGGGGTGTTTTCCTACTATGAATGGTTGGAGAGAACCTTGTCAGTTGGACGACGGGACGCGAATGCGAGGAGAAACCATTTTGAGTGATGATGCGGGGAATGATGATGATGTTGCAATGAGAGGTATGGAGTTTATATAGGTATTGTGGTATTTAATTGATGGTTTATTAAATGTGCAAAAAATATGGATCTTTGTTTTGATGTCTGACTTGGTAAAAGCGCAAGGAACATAGGATCTGTATTCTGAAAATAGCAAATATGTAAATTAAGTCTGGAACTCTATACAAATCACATTGGGGTTACATAGAAAGTAGGGCCTTTAAAGCAGTTTGGAGGTCGGTCCACTTTAGCTCCGACTTTGTGGACCGCCGACGCTGATAGGCTTCCTGATGTCTCTGGACGAGTCTAATTTGTATAGCTGTTTGGAGTTTCTCGCAGAGACTCGTTTGAGTTTGGCAATGTGCCTCCACCAGGCGACTCCCTTCCTGAATGCTGTCATCCAGCGATTTCAGTTGTTCTTGAAGGCGTCTAAGTTCTTCCATTTTTTGGGAGATCTCAGCCGCTAACGTGTGCCGCGCTTGTCGGAGTTCTTCCAGCTTGGCCTTGGCAAGAATAAGGTCTTGATCGACCTCTTTCAAGTTTGTCTTAAGACTGGCTGGATCAACAGTCGGTTGAGATGATGTGGCCTCGGATGATAGGGGGCGGATTAGGGGCAGTTCGGCTCGAAGTTCGGTGATCCTGGCCATCATCCGATCAAGGACGGGGAAGCTTCTGATTCCAGTTTGGGCTGTACCAACAAGGTTATTGCGACCTGGATTAGAGCCTCGAGGTCGGCTAAACTCAGGTCGGCAAAAGCCAAGTCGGCGCAGCATTCCACGATAGCTCTGACGGGAGTCGGAAGGTTTACTCGGGCCAAAATATTCATCTCTTGGGCAGCCTAGGGCAAAGGGAAGATGTTAAGTCAGAAAGATGTGGTGAAATCTTTACAATGTAAGAATAAAGTTTACCTGATTTAAGGCGGCCGTGGCTTCAGAAGGGGCCATGAGTCGGGACGTCATGCAGACGCCATAATGAGTTGTCGGGCCAGCAACCGACTCGTCCCCTGGTTGAAGACGGTGAGCGACGGCCGGCTCCATTCCCTAAACGAAGAAAGTTAAGCAAGGAAGAAGGGGAGAAAATTAGAAAATGTATAAGAAATAACACTAACCGAACCCCTTGGGGCAAAATTGACTGAAGCCTCGCCCGACTTCGAGGAGGAAATCTCCTCTATGTCGTGAGGCGATGGGTTCGGTTGGACTGGTTGAGGAGCAATAGGAGGAACCTCATCGATTGGTTGAGCGGCTGGTTGTACGGTAGCGCGGCAGCAGCTTGGTTGGGTGGTGCCACGAAGGGGTTGGGCCATTCTGCAACCTGGTCGGGTTCGGGCACCACCACAATTGCATCAGGTTCCTAGTTAGAATAATATACAAGAGTTAGAGGTTTTGTAAAAGAATCATATAGAAAGATTCTAGCAGTTACCTGTGATAGTTCCGCAACTTGGTCGGTGAAGGCAACGAGTTGGTCGGGCGTCGCCACAACCACATCGGACACTGGTGGTGGTAGAAGAGCAGGTGAAGGCGAAATTATAAGAGAAATTTTCCTTCTTCCCGATTCCTCCGGTTAGCTACAGAAAGAGAGTTAAGGTTAATGGTTGAAGTAACTATTCTCTTAGGAATATTGGGATATACTTACTTCGACTTGCAGGGGAGTTGGTTGTGTGATGGTCGGTTGACCAGCGATCGGGAGGTTTTCTGGAAGATCGGCTGGTTGAGCAGGTCGTTGTTCGGCTGGGGTCGTTGGTGTAGCTAACGGCTGATTAGCAGTCGGTTGGTTTGCGGTCGGGACCACGGTCGGTTGGTTTATGATCGGGACCGCAGTCGGTTGGTCTGCGGTCGGGACCGCAGTCAGTTGGTTTACGGTCGGGACCAAGGTCGGTTGGTTTGTGATCGGGACCGCAGTCGGTTGGTTTGCGGCCGACACCATAGTTGTTTGGTGTGTGGTCGGGATGGCGGTTGACTGAGAAGAAGTCAGATTGATAGGTGATTGCGCCGTAGTTCATTGAAATATGGTCGGTTGATGCTCAGTCGGGTGAGAGATAGATGGGGTAGTGGTTGGCGGCAACGAAGGGCCCTCTGGAATGGAAGTTGTTTAAGTTAAGTAGAGTTTGCAAGGAAAATGAAATATGGAAGGGAAAAGGACTTACTAAATTGTTTCCTCAAGTATTTTGGCATCCCGCTGGTATCCACTGGCAGAGATGCCAGGTACTCCTCGATGACCTACCTGTCAATTACAGGGGCGGCCTTCTACTTCTGCTTCTTTGCTCCGGATCCGCCTACAGCAGGCGCCTGCCTTTTTCTTCTCGGGGCAACGGCCTATCGAGGAGAGCCCAGTGCCAAGATTGGGGGTGGGGCAAGTTTTCCGACTAATTGGTCGGTCGTGGGAGCAATCAAAGACCAGGTGGCCGACTACCAAGCAGGAAACGCTTCGGTCGCCGAAGATTTTAAGTAGAAAGGTAAGTACGAATTAGAGGTGATATAGTCGGTGAGTTGGGAAACGTAGGTCGGGATAAGCTCAGGAATCACCAGCCCTTCTGGGCTTTGAGGTATAAGGTGAGGTCGGGCCAGTGGTCCCGGTATGCCTTGACAGCAACCGAACTGTCGAGCTAAAAATTGGGGCTGATAATTGTAAGTGTAAAATAATCTGCGGTTTTTCTTGTCTGACCTTTTACTAGAAAATAGAGATCGGGGTTTCATGGCGGAGTCCCAAGAGAAAGGATAGGTCGGATGAGGAAGAGGATCGGGATGAGTTTGGGAATGAGATGTGTCGGGATGAAGTAAAAGAAGGTCAGTTGAATATTGTATAAGAGTTTCGTAGACATAGAAGCGGGAATTGCTATGGTCCTCAGTCTGGATTTGGGCGATCATAGGGTCGGATGGATAAAGATAAGAGGAATTAGGGGTTAATCTGGCTAAGGCATAACCTATGGACTTGTAGGCGTTTGGGGCGATAGGAAGTCGGCCAAAGAACGCAGTAGGGAAGTACAAACGGAGCCACAATTCCAGGAACCAGAATGGTGCCGAAGCTGCAGTGTCCGCTTTCTTGGTATCGGTTAGACGGGTGCTCACTCGGGTTAAATCCTGAAAGAGGTTAGCCAAAAAAGGGTTCCCAATGAAAAAATTGGCCGCAAGCCAATTGAATAGCCAGATCGACTTGGGTAGAGAGGACGAGTTTGGAAGGGGAAAGAATGATGTATCTGTAAAGAAAAGAAAAGAGATTCAACCAAAACATCCAACTTCGAAACTACGAAAGAGATTTCAAAAGGAAAAAGTATACCTGCAGAGGCAGAAAAGAAGGAATGTTGTGTGTTCCAGTTCAGAAACAGAGGTGCCATCCTTACCCTGATATTTGTTAACAAAATTAGACCAGCCTCTCTCTTTCTCAGGGAGCTTGGCAAGGGCCCAACCAGCATGGTTGGGTGAAGGCTCTCGACCCTCAAAGGAAACCAGAACAGGATCATCGCCTACAATTGGCAAATGTGCAACAACGGCCACGTCCATTAGGGTCGATCCGATAGGACTGGCAAGGATGAGGAATACAGCCATCTGAGAATGCCAAAAGGCTGCCATCGCTAGTAGGGCTTTGTCGTGAAGATAAAGAGGCTGAGTTGAGAGGAGAATGGCTTTGTCAATGCCTTGCTTTTTCCACTGTTCTTCAAAGTGGGGGAGGAGCCTCGCGTGCCGTTTATGGTAGGCGTCTTTTGGATCAGTAAGGTGAGTTTTGATACTGTCCAAAAGACGTTCTGGTTTGAACGCAACATCGTTGACGATTATTGGAGAAACCTGAGAGATGACGGATCTCATACGATCAGCATCTTTGGTGGTGGTGCGGTAAGGGCTTATGGTAGGGGTGATGACCCTCGAAGCCACGGAAGGCACTGATGGGTCAGCCCCATCGAAGGGAAGAGCAGGGACGTATTGGTTAGCCATTCGAGTAGAAATTGCAGAAGATGAAGAAGCAGAGGGTTTTTGGGAAGTTGATCGCTGGAGAGAGAAAGGAGAACTTCAGGATTTTGAGGGCGTGAATTTGGCTGGGTTAGAGAAGGGTTTTTCATAAACCCTGTGATGTGACATAATACAGTGTAATGATAGCACTGTGTTACAAACCCTTAAACGTCGCATCTCACGCAGTTCAAGGAGTGACGTTTAGGAGTTAGGCGGGAGGAGGCAAGTTGTTGAGCACAAAAAAAATGATGCATAGGGTTTTCGAGAATGGGCCTACCAAATTAGGTTAAAGTTTGTTCGAGTTTAATGGGCTTTCAAAAAGTCCGAAGATAAACGCTGTTAAGGAAAAAGCTTCCTCGGGAGAAGGCAGAGATCGGGTGTGATAAGGTCGGGCACGGAGCTCAGGCATAATAAGGTCGGTGCAAAGATCGGGCGTGATAAGGTCATGCACAGAGCTCAGGCATAATAAGGTCGGGTGCAAAGATCGGGTGTGATAAGGTCAAACGCGGAGCTCAAATGCGATAAGGTCGGGTGTAGAGCCTAGGTATTACAAGGTCCGGTGCGGAGCCCAGTCGCGCGTTAAGATCGGACGTGGTAAGGTCAGGCAATGAGGTCGGACTTGAGCAGGTCGGGCTCGGAGGTCGGGCGTGATAAGGTCGGGCACTGAGGTCGGACGTGATCAGGTCGGGCTCGGAGGTCGGGCAAGGAGATCAGTCGTAACAAGGTCGGGCACTGAGGTCGTACGTGATAAGGTCGGGCTTGAAGATCGGGTGTGATAAGGTCGGGCACTGAGGTCGGACGTGATCAGGTCGGGCTCGAAGGTCGAGCGTGATAAAGTCGGGCACAGAGATAAGACGGGATAAGGTCAGGCTCAAAGTCGGGTGTGATAAGGTCGGGTAATGAGGTCGGACGTGAGCAGGTCGGGCTTGGAGGTCGGGCGTGATAAGGACGGGAACTGGGGTCAGATGTGATCAGGTCGGGTACGGAGGTCGGATGTGATAAGGTCGGGCGAAGCGAAGTCAGGCAAGTCAGGAGGTTAAACAAGGGAAGGACGGGCAAGAGGAGACGAAGCAGCAGATGTATAGGTCGGGCGAAAGAGCAGTACCTGGACAGTCGAGGGAAGTTTCAACCGATGAGCGAATTTGAAGGCACGACTTGGTGAGTCGGTTAACATACGTGCCAACAGAAGAGGGCTTTCTGGGCGGTTGACAGCGGTTGCTGTAACCGATCAGACGGCGGTTCAAACCGTTTCTTTAGAGGAATATTTAAGGATTGGGGTCAGCAACTGGCAGGGTATCTTCAATCGACATCAAATTCAAGAGAATTGCTTTTGGGGATCACCACTTTATTTTCCAGTCTATAGTTTTATTTTCCTATTTTATTTATGTATCTACAGTGTTTAGAGATTCCTAATCTTATGCACTAATTATATCAAATTCAAAGATAATTTCTTATTTTCGGATTTTAGTTTTTATTGTTGAAAAATCGCATCAACACAAGTTTTGCCTCTGTTTGTAGAAGTTTAAATCAAGTTAAAAAGGAAAAAAAGAAAAAGATAATGAGAGATTTAACTCAATGTTTCAAGACTAAAACTAATAACAAAAACTCATATATTATTATTATTATTTAATTATTATTATAAAAATATAAAAAAATAAATAATAATAAAAACCCATGACTTTGTTCATCCAACAAAAATTTTTTTAACACAATTTTCAATTAATAATTACATAAATTATAAAATGTTTATAATCTACCTATATAAAAAAATTCAATAATTTAACGCAAAATATTATTGTTATATTACTTATATATTTTTATGGTATGTAACATAAAGACATCAAATTAAAACACAAACTCAAACCACCAAAAAAACACACCCATTAACTTTAAATTCTTCGATGTTGTTGCTTGATATTAGTTGTAGTCTGTTTGATTGATGATTGCTAAAAGATATTTGATATATTTTCTATGTGTACATAGCTTTTGAATGAAATATATAAAGCAATATTCTTAATCTCTCAGTTTTCAAGAAAACATAAGGTAACATTAAGAAATAAAATTATATGTCTCACAATCATACTTTAGGTGTGATTACAATCCAAATCAGAAACATAGGGATTAATAATATGTGTTAAGTACGTTTCAAAATTTTCGGTTGCTTCACGTATAGTTTGTGTAGTAAGAAATGCAGGAAGTGTTTAGATGTTATAATTTGATAAAACACTAATATGACCATTTGCGTCTGCTTATTTTCTAAGATATATTTGAAGTAATAAATAATTTTACTCTAATCCTCAGTTATTTGCAATTTGAAACTCTTGAATTAACCCTAAATAATTATTATTTTTGACAAAATCGAAATTACAATTACTGGTGCTTAATTTATTTTTGTAATGATATATATATCTGGTGTGAAAATAAATATTACGAGTACATCTTTGGTCCTTTTTTTTTAATGGAGGAATAGGTTATCATCGTATTGCAATGGATACATTGGAGGCATATTAACGGGTCCATTCAAAATAAAATAGTCTTCTTGAAATAAAAACCTACTTATTATGATATGACAAAGAATGCAGATTCCTCAAAGCGACAAAGTAAAATAAAATCCATTTGTTCCCCAAATCCTGATCACTGTAATGAATAATTTAGCAATATTTTTATCCATTTATGATTCACATCCACGAGACCGTGGTTATAGTGTCGATTAACCCTACTCAGCATATAATAATCGTTCATACAAAATATATACCACAATTAAGTTTAACAATTAAAAAAATTACATATCAATATTACATAAAAACACATGATATGAAATGATAATATATCCAAACATTGTCACAATTGATTTCAATACAAGATACATATTAACATTAATGAAGGACATTGTATGAATTGTGATAGTAATTTATACATCACATGCCATTTTAATTCTAGTAATTCATTGAAAAATAGTAATTGTTTATGAAATCAGCATCTAACCAACAACCTACCCACCGTCATATATATGAAATTATTTTTTTTATCTCTATATATAATATATTGTATCGTAGTGCAATCCTATGTCATTCATATTTTTGTTTACTTTTTTTTTTTTTTTTTTTTTGTTTACTTTTATTCATATGTGGTCTAATACATGTAACAATTAAGAAATTTAAAATTTACATATTTGAATTAAAATGACAAAAAAGTAAAAAAATTATGCTAGTATATATACAATTTTTCAAATTTAGAAATATTATTTAAAAATTATCAAAAATATATTCCCCTTTGAGATGTGCCAAGTGTTTATTAAATCCTAGTTATGTCATCAATTAAATTTGAGACACACCAAAGTGAAGTTAAAATAGGATTTTGAATTTCAATATATACCAATTTCTTCCAACCACTTACAACCCTAGTTATAAAAAAGGAATTGGTAACCAATGTAGAGTAGTACAAATACAAAGGAATAATGTATCTTGATTAATACAATACAATAGAAAAACATCCCTAGCCATGGCAATTCTAACTCTACCCTTCCCCACCACTACCGCCACCCGGCCACCGCGACAGCCCATTGCCGCCATCATGAAACAACCCACCCCGACCTTGCCCCGCCCTAAAACAACCTACTCAATGACACAAGAAAAGATCGAAATATTCAACTCGCTCGAGCCATGGGCCACCACACACCTCCTCCCACTTATCAAACCAATCGAGAAATCCTGGCAGCCGAGCGAGTTCCTCCCCGACCCAACCCGTCCCGAAAAGGAGTTCATAGAAGAAGTCCGGGCCCTACGCCAGCACACTGTCGGGCTTCCCGATGAATTCTTTGTTGTGTTGGTTGGAGACATGATCACCGAGGAAGCACTGCCTACGTACCAAAGTATACTGACACTATGCGACCCAAATCGCGACGAAGACTTCAACAAAAACCCATGGTCTGCTTGGATAAGGGCCTGGAGCGCCGAGGAAAACCGGCACGGTGATTTGCTTAGGACTTATCTGTATCTTTCCGGCAGGGTAAACATGGCTATGATCGAGAAAACTGTGCAATACCTTATTGGATCTGGAATGGTAACATTAATTTCATTATGTATTTAGATATTTGTACTTTGTGGTTGTGTTTACTTTGAGGAATTCATTTTCTAGTATGTATGTTATTTTCTTTAACCTAATCACATGTTTACTTTACAAGATTTAAATTTAAGATTAGTTAAAGCGCCCCATAATAATACACTATTCAAGAATGAATAAGGCCCAGTGGTTGACCCATTAAGGGGCTCTACCCCTACCTCTACCCCTATCTCTACTTTTATTTTTATTTTATTAAGTATTTTTACTTATTAAATAAATATATATAATGAATAATTGAATTAACAAAAAATATATAATTCAATTGTTTGATTTTTAACAATTTTTTTTTTTTATAATCAAAACTTATATTATTATTATGTTTTTTAATTTCAAAACATAGATATCCTAATATTTACAACATATAGCAATATATATAGTTATTGATATTATTGTAATTTATTATTTTGTAATATAATAGAAATATAATATATAGTGTTTCATAGAAAGAAAAAAAAATTGAAAGTCTTAAAAAAAAGTTGTCATCCCTCGAATTCTTTCTCGGTTTTGCCACCGACTAGGCTCTCTTACGAGACAAAAATATGATATTTTTCAGATATAAAATTTTATTTTTGCATCTTGTAAATAGTATGAAAAAATAAGTCAAAAAGTAAATATATAAGTTTTTATTCTCATATCTCACATATTAGTCTTTTTTTTTTTTCTCGGAATCTCAAATAATAGTCTTTCTTTTATAGTTGTGCGTGCACAGGTTAGGTATTTTCTTTTATTTAGGTACCCTTAAATGTATTTTGAAATTTTGAATAGTTTTTGGAGGATTTAAAAATAAAAAAACATGTTTCTGATATGATTGTTCGAAACGTAACAATTTTAATAAAAATTATATTTTGAATATAAAAATAATTATTATTTTTTAAATAACTATTAACGAATAATGGAAAAATAAGTTTGAGAACGTAAGTCAACAAACCATTTGGTTTTAGCATACTAAGATCGTGTATTCCTTAGTTCAGTTTATAAGCATATATATATATACATTAATTCTTGGCAAAACTCTTAACATTTATGTTATGTGTTCATCGAACATGTTAAATTTTGAGATTGATTGTCCTGGCAGGACATTGGTGTGGAAAATAATGCTTACTTAGGGAGTGTGTACACGTCCTTTCAAGAACGGGCGACATTTATATCCCATGGAAACACGGCAAGGCAAGCCAAGATACACGGCGACCCGATTCTTGCAAGCATATGCGGGAGCATTGCTGCAGATGAGAAACGCCACGAGAATGTGTATGTTAAAGTTGTCGAAAAATTGCTTGAGATTGATCCCAATGATACCATGATGGCAATAGGTAATATGGTGAGGAAAAGAATAACAATGCCAGCCCACCAGATGACCGACGGCCATGACCCTGATCTTTTCAAGCATTTTGCATATGTGGCGCAACGACTTAAGGTTTTCACGGGTCATGACTACATAGATAATTTGGAGTTCATGATCGGGCGATGGGGGCTCGAAAAGCTCGAGGGATTGAAAGGCGACGCAAGATGTGAGCAAGACTTCGTCTGTAGTCTCCCACCTAAGCTCAAAAAATTGATGGAACGAGACGAGAAAAAGGCCAAGGATCAACAAAGGTTGAAATTTAGTTGGATTTTTGATAAAGAAATCATAATTTAGCTTCAAATTTATATAATATAGATGAAGTAATTAATGTTTGATATATATCTATATATATAGATCAAATATAGTAACCATAAATCAAATAACTTGTCATGTAGATAAAAAAACAATGTATTAAGTTAGAAATAGTATATGCTTAATGCATGTAATGATCTTGTGGCAAGCCTTAACATATGTTGGACATGATATAATTTCTTCCCCAATTATCATTAAGAAATTAAAATAAAAATCCTATTATGTATGATTCGAAATTATAGAAGTCAAATAATTATACAACAAAAAACATGATGCAATCTGTTGGATATACGGGGCTCGCAATAATTGACAAAAAGAAGTTCAATGCCTCCGAGTTTACTATATAGCGGTTACTATGAAATTAAACCTAAGGAGATTCACACAGCAAATAAACACGTGGGTGTCTTGTGGTTGTGACGCCTATGTGCGAATGAGTACAAGCCTATAATTGGACAAGTGCCAAAACATACAAGAATAACACATAACGTTTGTTAATCCAATTTGTTGTTTAAACCTATATTTGGAGATTCCAATTTAAGAGTCAATTACTAAAATCTAACATCAGGTTTACAATGACTCAAAATTCCAAACAACGTACTCCACAAACTATTCTCTAAATAAACTCTCTTTGTTTCACCGAACATAGGAAAACTGGTTGTTAAACGACATTAACAACACCGGTAGGCACATTGTCTAGACTCTAGTTATAGTAAATTATGATTAACGGTCCAATAATGATGCATTTCACTACTTTAAAATACAATTTTGAATTCTACGAATAAGTGCAGTGGGATAATAATCAAGTTTGCTGTTTTAAGAGACTGTTGCATGGCCAGACGCACAACACAGTCAATTGAATAATTCACCTATTTTTTAAGCATAAACTAAATGTAAAGCAATCGAAGAAATCATTTTTTTCAGAGATTGTGATATGCATGTTAATTGTAGTAGCCTAAAGAGGAGAATTTTTTTAATTACTTCACAAAATAAAATAATAGAACAATCACTTTAAAGAAGTTTACAATCAATTAAAAGTATTTGTCTATAAACGAAAGCGTCTGGCTCAAGGAATGGTATAAATTTAATAAAAGTAATTCTTACTAGGCTATCAATAAATTGGTTATATCAATAAAGTGTTACAACCAATTTCTACTTATACTATAGGTAGTCAAGATAGGATTGTTAGGTACTCCTAATTAAGGTAATAAACTTGAGTACATTCCTAGAATATATTTTTAATCTCCCTATAATTTAGAAAAACTCAATTAAAACAATTCCTACCCAAAAAATGCAAATTAGATTTGATTAAGTAATATCCCATAATGAACTATTCAACTTAGATGTCATATACTCAAATGCGGATACAATTACATATCTTATATTTTAATTGATTGTCAATTATTAGATTGAAATAAATATTGGTACCAAAATATCCAATCATAACAATAACTCACAAATTAGACAAATATTTTAATCAATAAGAATATATATAGAACAATAAAAGAATATCCAGAATACATATACAAACATGTTGTCATTCATCGAACTAGAAAAGTGAATTACTCCATAATCTAACCGAAAAGACAACAAAAGAAAAATTAACCATAGTTCAAGGGTGAAGGAAAATTCTTCTCTCTTGTCAAATCGCTTCCCAGTCTATCTTTGAATTTGTGCCGTGCACCACTCTTCCCACCGTAAATATTTTTTTTCCTACCCTTTTTTTTATAAGGTAGGGGCTTTTCGGCCATTTACCTAATTTATTATGTCTACAAGGAAGTCAAGACGAGATATATGCAATCCTGAAATTTAGTATTTAGTTTTATTTTTTCTCTAATATTCACTGATTTTCCTATGCTATCCTACATATCATATATTAACAACAAATTAAGATTAAATTAATCAAATAATATTTGCAATATAAATAAATCACACAAAGTTTGTAACTATAAATTCCCTCACAATTAAATTGTTGTTGCCCTTAAGCATGGATTCGTAATCACATTAGATTTAGTATGACAAAAAATCTCAATTCTACAAAGTCAATCGGAAATTAAACATATTGTGTCAAGCAACCTCATAGCACTACCACAATTTTGGAAATTGGCCTCGAAAAATTGGTACGGAATTTGAACTACTTCCAAACCTATTTATTTTTGCGTTCTGACTTTCCATCAGAAACACACCAGAGGGCTAAAACTCGTCGCCCTTTTTCAGTGGACTCAGAATTTTTGAGACTATTTTAAATAGCTTCAGAATTTTAAAGACAAAACCGAAGCTGCAAACTTTTATAGGCGCGTGAGGTTATATTCTTGATTGTCTTGGAATTTCCGAGATCATTTTTTTTTGTTTCGGGTTTTCTAAAGCAATTTTTAAATATTTACCAAAATAATTAAATTCAAAATTTGTTCACCGGAAAAATTCTGGTGAACTGCAACGCCGGATTCTCCCCCATCCTATAACAGCGGCGGCAGAGAGCTTCAATTCCGGCAGCAGTGGAAGCCGTTCCGGCAGTGGCTCCGACGGAGGAGTGGCGTCAGACTTCTCCGGTTCCGGCTGAGAATTCATTTCTGGTGGTGGCTGATCCGGCGAAGGAGTGGCGGCTGGCTTCTCTGGTTTTGGCTGAGACTTAGTTTCTAGCAGCAGAAGCTCTAGCGGAGGTGTTGTCATAAAAAATTACCTCCGCAAGTTTAATTGAAAGAGCCCGCCATAATCGATCTGTTCGACGGGTTTCCCGGCATCCTCAAGAAAGGATACGGGCTATCTCGTGATATCAGAATCATCTACGAATCAAGGAAACTACGAATAACTAATAATGCAAGGAAGAAGCTAAAAATTGGAATTTTAATTGATAAAAGCTGGAAAAATAAATTATATTCTAGAAAAAAAAATTTGCAGAAACATAATGCAGAGAAAGATTACGAAGAAGAAGGTGAATCTCGTGTACAATATATGCCTGGAATGTTGTTTATTTATTTTGAATCTTTTTGGATAAATTTTTATCCCTAAATATTCTCAACAGATCCAACCACATTCCCCACTGCTTCTTAGCCGAGTCTGAGCCTTCACAACTTCAACTGGGCTGCCTGCACTTCCAACTGGATCTTCCGCAATGGGCCAGACAGGTCACCAAGTCTGCTTGTTGATCTGGGCTAGCTATAATCGGATATTCAGCCATGGATGACGCTGGGCCGGAGATCGTCTTCCTTGGGCTGCCTTCATGTTAGGCTGGTACCAATTTATTATTTGAGTGTGTACAAATGTCCCCCACAAAATTATCTGGACACAAATTAATTTGTAGTCTGGATAATTTTGTTAAAAGTTACTCGGCTTGTCCATCTGCTTTTCCTCATTCCACAAGATCGTACTCAATCACGCCTGATTGTGCCTTTCTTCCAGCTCCCAAAGAGAATGATAGAATCATTTAAGATGTCTTCCATTGATGAATGTCTTCAGCTCATCTCCTTCGGGCTCAATCAATCTATACGCGTCATTATGTAAATTAGCCGATATAATAAATAGCCCTTTCCATACGGGGGACTATTTTCCGAGCCCCGCATCTTTAGGACCTTCCGGAAGGACGGCCTTCCATACCATGTCTCCTTTCTGAAAGATCCGGAGCTTTACGTGTTTCCGGAAGGTCGATTCGGCCTTTTTTTTATGTTGAATGCATTCAAGAGCTTGCAACCTCTCTTCATGGAAGGCGTCGAGCTCTTGGAGCAAGGTCTGGTCCTACTCTCTCGTCGAAAATTGGTTCATCTTCAAAATTTGGAGAGAGATACTGTAATTTCCAATAGAAGCACAACATCATGGTCGTAAGTCAGCCTATAAGGAGTGCTCCCGATTACCGAGGATTTGGCATTCTGATATGCCCATAAAGCCTCTACCAAAGTATCATGCAAGCCCCTCGGGTTGTCCCCCAGCGCCTTCTTGATAATGGAAATCAACATTTTTTTGTTGCCTAGGCTTTCCTGTTAGCCTGAGGGTAGTACGGAGAGGAATGGAGCAGTTGAATCCCGTATTGGACTGTAAAAGCCTTGTCCTTTGCGCTCTTAAATGCGGTCCCTTGATCGGTGGTTATCATATTAGGAATGCAAAACCTGTGAATAATGTTATTCTTAATAAAATATATGACATGATTATGTTGTACCTTGGCCAATGGGACAACCTCCGCCCATTTCGTAAACTAGTCGATTGCTATGAGAATAAAGGAAAGCCCCTTGGAAGATGTAGGATGAATCTTGCCGATAATATCCATCTCCCATCCACGGAAAGGCCAAGGTTTGATAATCGAATGAAGTTTTTCCACAAGGACTCGTTAAAGTTGTCCATGGCACTGACATGCTGGACATCGCCGAGCATAATCCATGAAATCCTTCAAAATTCGTAGCAAAAAATAGCCGTATCTGAGAATCATCTACTTTAGAGCGGGTTCAGCCCTATAGGCACCTCCAACACCTTTGTGGACCTCCGCTGATATAGCTCTCCATCGATTGAGATATATTTTAAAAGTTGATGGCGCATTGCTTTTGAGGTGACCTTCGCATGAGCTGTTAGACCTTCTAGTAGCGTGGTTTGCTAGTCTCGGCCCTAGGCAGCCTGTAGACATTCGTATCCTGGCCGTACTTCTTTTCTTTTAAATCTAGAAGCCCACTGCGTGAAGTCATTTTCCTCTAAATTCTCTTCTCATGGTATATTCTCTAGTGTCACCTTCGAGAGCTTCTGAAGAAGGTTGTGGGCTTCTTGAAGAAGGTCATGAAGTCGTGGCTCATTGCACTTGAACTCCTTAAGTGCTTGACGAATAACCAACTGAGAATTTTCTCGAATAACAACCTTTTTGGCATCTTTTGCGACCAAGAATTGCAATGCTAACAACAGCGCCTCATATTCAGCTTGTTTGTTCATGACACCTTGCGGAAGTTGGGGGCAAAGCGCCATACTTTTCCTTTTGGATTGGAGATCACCGTGCTTACTCCAGCTTCTCCCGAGGTGATGGACCCATCAAAACTCACCAGCCATGGTTCCAATCCCACGTAGTCCAAATGAATGACCTGAACTATCCCAGGATGTTCGGCCAAGAAATCTGCGATGATCTGTCCTTTCACGGCCTTGAAGGGCTGGTATTGTTAATGCGAAT